TGGTAGTAGAATTTTCCCACAATGATATGAATAGAGCTGATGTTTCCATTTAATTTCACATAGCCTTGCTTTCCCAAAAGTTGTCCTTATCGAACTCGCACAGGTCCTAGCAACAGCTCCAGCGGGAGTCGAACAATGACAGTGCAGCGTGTAACCTCGACACATCAACCACTACGCCACATTGCCACGAGTGAAATTGGGTCACAGGGCAGATGCGAATTTAAGGAAGGTCTGGCATTTTCCCATATCATATTCTGTGTTGGGATTGTCGATGAAGCAAAGTTATATTTGCCATAGCAGTCGATGACATTACCTTTTCGTTATTGAATAGGTTCTCGAGACTATCAGTAATTCAGTTATATGAGCTGTGCATACCTGATTTACTGGTAGCCTCGAAAACCTACTCAATAACGAAAAGGTAATGTCGTCGATTTCCATAGCAAATATAAGCTTGCTTTATCGGCAATCCCAACACAGAATGTGTTGTGAAAAACGCCTGACATTCCTTGAAATTCACATCTACCCTGTGACCCAAGGTCACTCGTGACAGTGTGGCGTAATAGTTAAAGTGTCAGGCTTACACACTGCATTTTCATGGTTCGAGTCCCGTTTGGGGTATTGAAAAGACCTATGAGAGGGTGAAATTGCAGTCCACCCTGGATAATAACACCTTTTGAAGAAGCAAGGCTATGTGAAATTCTATAGAAAAAATCAGCTCTACTCATATTAATTATGGGAAAATTCAACTACCAATCCTTCATCACCTTAAACGAAATTGGGTGAACAAAACTAGTGTATATGATTTAATGGTAGTCTCGAAAGCCTACTCAATACAAAATGTAAGCATCACGAATCCTGAACTGTGACCTCCTGAATTTACCAATACCCAGCAGCACTATGGTTTGGAATCATTTACATAATTCTCGGTGTTATCCTAAAGGATGGAAGCCCGTAACCCGAAACATGGGCTTACTTAATTCTGCCCAATCGACTAGCAAAGTTGCTGAAATCCCCGAAAGTAAATATCACACATCCTTGCTGCAGCAATCTAGTTAACGGCTACATTTTACATTTGGACCTCATACTACCCAAAAAGAATGCAACCTATTTATTGGAAGTACAATCTCATTTAGTGAGTGATAATCATGCATTGCCCCTACTCAATGCTGGCTAGCGAAGGCTTGTTTAGTAGAGCCAAATGAAAAGTTGAACCTGACGCTTCCACTATTTTATTCATTAGTGACCCTTTTCTGTAGCCTTATGGAAAGTGAATTTAACGATCTTTTTGACAATTTGGAGACTTATAAATCGTTTTTCCTATTTAAGCTGCCGTGAGTTGGGTACATTGAAGGTTACCAATTTCAACTGGTATCTTGAGTGGGATGCTAACAATGGAATCTCGCATTAAGAGTCATACACGTGGCCTAAAAAGTCACCTAACACTAGTCCCTCTTTTGGCCTAAAGACGAGCAAGGTTTTGGGATATGCAAGCCATAGTGAGTAAATGTCAGATGAGAGTGCTGCTGAACTGCCAACTGTATCCAGTCACCGCAACTCAAAACCGTTGGACCATCATTTATAAGTATACACTTTAAAGAACTCGAATCATATCTTCCCCGTACCCCAAGAGCACTCCATTCATAACTAGGGCTAATAAAGTAAAAGTCTTGCCCTCTTCACCACAGCCCGGATTACCAGGTCTCTCTTTTTCTTTCATTAAGTTGATCTATGAGGCGTTAGAAATGACAATATTCTAGAGTAGGCCAATACCAGGTAAGACACCGCAAATGGTTTTTCATCGAAATGGTGAAAATAAATTAATTGTTTAGGTTATATGTATTTACCATACTTCGTTAAGGTAATGAGCGATTGATAGATCAATTTTCCCACAATGATATGTGCTGACTAAACGTTTTTATTAAATTTCCTTTATCCTTGCTTCACAAAAGATATTCCCATCCAGACAGAAGAACACTGCAATTTCTACCTCGTGTATATCTCAACAGCACCTCCAACGGGACTTGAGCCTGCTCGTGGCAGTAGTTAACGTGTTGAGACTATACATTGCAATTTCATGAGCCGAGTCCCGCTGGAGGTGTTGATAAAACCTAGCCGAGGTCGAAATTGCAATCCACTCTAGCCTGGATGAGAATATCTTTCGAGTAGCAAAGCTGTGTGAAATTTAAAAAAACGCAATGTCTACTCATATCATTATGGGAAAATTCAACTAACAGTTTTTAATCACTTCCCCAAATAGGGTGAATACATCTCATGTATATGCTGTACTGGTAGTCTCGAAAACCGACTGATAGAAGAAAAATAAGTAATAAACATTTGTTTTGCTCTGTTTAAAAACGTCATATGCATTGTCATCTGCTGGTTGAAGCCTATATCTGGAATGGGCTGAAATCCGCGGATGACATTGCCTGTCAGAGAGTTGCTTTGCTGAAAGGGCCCTTATGGAGGGATACCGAGATTTCGTCTTCCTCGTGATTATAGTAAATTGTCCAAAAGGCAGATGAACCACCACATTCTCAGCTCATCAGGCAACCTTTCATCTATTAGCAGAAGGGTGATTGCTAAGCAACTTACTTGGATTGCTTCCATATAAACCTTCTCTTAAACTCCCTCAAAGTTTACTTTTTTTGAGATATTCTCTTTGATTTATTGTCAGTTGCAAATTGTCCCGTAAGGCGATGAAGGAATCTGAATGAAATTAAAATAAAATATTAATATTAATATATAATATATAAAAATAATATAATATAAAAATATAATATAAATATAAATTAAAGTATACACCATTTTCATTTATCCTCAATTAGACTAATCTGGGTGGGATAATGGTAGCTCAACTGCGACGAGTGCTTGAAAGTAGCATTTCCACTTTTTCCAAATCTCAATAGATCAGTCAGTCTCTGCGCCTCCGTCATACGAAGGAATACATTTTCGTTCAGGGCTGAAGAGAGACAAATACCTTGGCCTAAGTTCTCCTTTTAGGCTTCAGAGGCCAGCTGGTCCAGGGTTCCTGTCAATGTGGAAAATATGGGCTTAGCCCCAGGAGGCTATGGATGTTAGCCTTCCCGGCCCATTATCCAGGCTTCCGCTCTGAACTCATTTTATTGCCAGATATGGATTGGCAAAATGTGCTCACCAAAATAGGAAAAAATATATAAAAATATATATATATATATATATATTTATATATATTTATTCATATAGACATACGTGTGTGTGCTGGCATATCGCTTAGGAGGAATAAGTCTGCACAGGTACGAGTAGAACAGACCTGATGACAGGTGGACGATAAGAAAGAAAGAACATTAATTAACCTTTCCGCTTTTTGACCCTTTTCCCCATGCAGCGTCCTTATGCTATGCCTGAATCTGGATTAAGTTGTGTTTGCTCGGCGTAAGCCCTAGTGGCATATCGTGTCGCCCGGGTAACATGGCCCGACCTGGGAAGTTGTCTCGCAGACGTAGAGGCTACTTAGAGCACGACCAGGGTGGGCGTATACGTGTGGATGGATGTGGCAATGGAGTTCTTTATAGCTTTGAAGTTTAGAATGCTCACATAGTTATTGTGAGCAATAACTTGCATGTGAGTGTGCAAGATATGGGATGTTTCGGTAGGCGGTTTTTATTATTTATTCGATTAGTCCACTGCGTTAGGGGCCGGAAGCATGGGCGAAAATACTGGTAGAGATGGAGCAGAGATGAGTGGTGACGGTAGGTAAATATGTGCTTGAGTATTGTGTGATTCACATAACAATCGAACCGAACTGAGCCTGAAATCGCTTTTTTGTCTTTGAACTCAAGTTCATGCAGACGACAAGATCTAATGCGGCACATGCGTTTACCGAATGTGCACTGCTGGATTAAATGAGAGACCTCACGATGCCTCAAAATGGCAAAGCCTTGCATTCCAATAAGTAATATTGACGTCAATGGAAAGTAGCAAATAAGTAAGTAGTCATTTGTCCCTGTTTTCACAACTTGGTCATATTGGCAGGAAAACCTAGATGAACGCACCTAGTCCGGAGTCCAGAGTATGCATGATAATCTCCAGAGTCAGACTATGGACTTGGTACATTTTCAGACGTCTCGCCGGCATCTTCAGTGAGCCTTGCCAATCTTAGCTCCACACAACAATTCGTCTGGTCTCTATCACCTCTATATTCATTTCTTTAGATTCTCTGAGGTACCCGTTACTAAGACAAATACGAGTTGGTTTACTCAACTCTTCGTCCCAGAAGTCTATGTTCATTAGTCTAAAACTTATGATGATAAAATCCTCAATATTCCCATCTTCAGTCTATAGTTGTGATGAAACTGGAAATTCAGGATTATTCACGCATGTGATTTCTTTCTGAATTGTCTCATTCGAGTGTCGCGTTGCAGCGCATGACCTCAACATCCAGGAAAGGTAGTCACCCATTCTCATCCAAATCCGTTGGGAATTTTATTCTTTCATCAAGTTGGTTGATTCACCTAACTTTTCGTGACCATGCGGCCAAAGCGCAAAGTAGTCATCCCTGTATTGCATAAGTAATCTTGGCTGTAACGGTGACTTCTCGAATTCCCTTTCCAATTTGTCCATTTATACATTTGCCAAAAGAGGTGTGACTGGAGATCCCATCAAAAGTCCAATATTTTCTCATAGATACTGCCGTTAAATGTAAAACAGGTGGTCCTTACTGTCAGGTTTGGCAGTCATGTTAACGATTCTCTCCGTATCCGCTTTACCTCAAGGATATCTTCTTCTAGCCCCACTATTTCCTTCAGGACTTTTATCGCTTTCTTGCCTGAGATGTTTGCGCACATGGATTGTACGTCAAAACATACAATTGTTCCGTCCCCACCAGCCCAATGTTTTGCATCCGTTGAGGGCCAATTATCTTACATTCAACGGCAGTATCTACGAGAAAATATTTGGACTTTTGATGGGATTTCCACTGGTACCTCAGAGATTCTAAAGAAATTGACGAATCGGAAGGACGATCAAAGGCGGATATGCCTGACCTCCAGTGAATTGAGCCAAAAATTGCGATCTTTTTTAAGAAAATGGAATACCAAAGGGATAATTAAGGAAGGGCAGCATCCTTCAACAGCCTGCCGAATCAACACGAGAAAGTTGAGAAAGTGGATTGCCTGATAGTTTTTAGCATCAAATGCGTCAACTGTGAGTGGAAGTATATTGGTGAAACAGGAAGTAAGATCAGCCTCTGAATCAAGAAACATCAAAGACTTTGCAGAAACATGGATAAAGAAAGATCCAAAATAGTAGAACACACTGCACGGACCGGACACAGAATCAACAGAAAGGCCGGCTGTATAGGTTGGAAAAACGAGGAACCGAAAGATCTGAGAGCCCATCGTTAACTTGACAGAAAGAAATCCAATGATAGCAGAATTGAAAAGGGCAGGATTTACGAAAACTTTGTATACGGCCATAGCAAACTCGAAGGAGATGGGGGAACAGTAAGATCAACTAAAAGAAGACGAATAGATAAAGTAAAATATTTTTTTAATTTATTCAAAGAAATTTCACGGAAGGAAGAAAGGGATAATCGGAAGCCAATCCAGCTTGAGAATCCAGACTTTGTGGGCCTACTCAGCAAGGCGGGGGCATATGTGCCATCATAGGCTTGAGACAGAGTGTGGCAAATAACACCTCGAGTGGCACAGACATGGTGGCAATGGCCGAGTGAAATCCCACAGCCAGGGAGATAATATATCGATCCTATAGGGCAAGAGGGAGACCTATGGGAAGAGAATTGTGGGCTAATATGACAGACTTAGATCAACATTCCCAGCACAAGAGTGGGGGTGTGGAGGTGAAAAATCCAGCGTGGGATGTGAAGTGGTCTCATGAAATCCACTAAAAAAGGGCACACAATACCACATTTAAATAATAAATTAAGAAATTGTGACAGTGAAGGTGTGGTACGAGTATATAAGATTGGCAATTAGCCCAGGGCAGAAGGAAAGATACCACGATTGTTTAGCCGACAATAGGTCAAAGGATCGACTTCAATTGTCAGTTTGACGAATTGTTGTATGGCGATGCAGGCGAAACGTCTGGGAATGTACCAAGACCATTAGTCTGACTCTGAAAATTCTCATGCATACTATGGACACTGGACAAGGTGCATTCCCCTAGGTCTTCCTGACAATATGACGAAGTTATGAAAACAAGGCCAAACAACTACTGTACAACGAAAGGAGACCGTAACCATACAAATGGCCACATCTTCAGCATGAGTTCAAAGTAAAACACTATGAAGCAAATGATGAGAGGCTTGTTCCTTCTTGAAAGCCATGTTTGAAGTGTCACAATGAAGCTGGGGTGTATCATTTTTCGCTTATAAGCAGGTTTTCGAGACCACCAGTAGATTATAGATATGTAGGGTAAATTCAACTAACAGTCCTTCATTGCCTCAAACGAAATATGGGGTTGATCTCGTTGTCGTAACTTGGTCTTGTTGTCAGGACGACTATGTAGAAGGCACCTAGTCCGAAGTCGTCTGCCATACTAGTTGTCATGATTCCCAGCATCAGACAGTGGAATTGGTAGATTCTCAAAACGTTTCGCCGGCATCGTAGTCGGCATCATCAGTTAGTGCTGCCATTCTTCGCGCCAAGTTATGAACTCGTCAAAGAGACAAGTGAAGTCAATCCCTCGACAAACCGTTCTGCTGGAAACGGTTACACTATCACTCCTCTTTCTATTCTGGCCTATCTATCTACTCTTTACCCTCTAATCCCACTGCCGCCCTATCACAACTTCTCACTCGTAAAAATGTATGCCCTTTTGTGGCAAATCTAGTGTGGTCTCATCACACTCTTTCGATCGGCTAATCCGACTCGGGCCTACGATTCGGATCCCCTTCATGGTCCAGTAGAATGTACCATGTCCCCTTTCAGATGCTGGGAATCATGGCAAATACTATGGCAGACGACTTCGGACTAGGTGTGTTCTTCATAGTCGCCCTGACAACAAGACCAAGTTGCGACAACGAGGTCAACCCACTTCTATAAATCGAAAGGAGA